TTGGCATTAGATTCAGTTCCATTGATCACAGTGTTTATAATGGTGGATAATACCAGAAGAGGGACTGAGGAACAGAGTGTATGTGAGATTGCTGACTGACTGACTGATTGACTGAAGAAGGATTCTGAAAGTCTGATAAAATAGTCCTCCGCCCTCTCCCATCTCAGAGATGTTTAATTGTTCTCTGTTCTTGGCAGTTATAAAATTATATTATTATAGGATTAGATCAGAACCAATCTGATCTCGCAAGAGGAGGCCTCATTCACCCTTCCTGGCAACCTATTCCAGTCGTTGATTACCCTCTGGGTAAAGAAAAGCTCTGTCCTTTCTCGGTCCTGCAGTTGCCATTTTGCAACTCAGGGAAATAAATTGATTGTTCCTGAGGAAACAATCATCCAACCTTCCCTCCCACCCCCTGCCCCACCAGCTTTTCTAGTACGTTCATTCTCTCCACATCACAGTATAAGTGTTCCAAGACACTATCCACATGAAGGGCACTGTTGTCATATACCCGGCCTCTGCTAAGTGCCCTCTACTCTACTCAGCCACTGCTCCTCCCCAAGTTCCTACTCACTGCCTACCAATTTGATGTAAGTGACATGGCACAGCCTATGAGACGTTTTGGTTCCAAATTAAGACTCAGTTTAAGAATTTCCCACAAATTATAATAATAATAATCCTTGCATTTGATATAGCGCTTTTCACATCTTCTTGACGTCTTAAATCGCTTCACAGAATAGTGAATTGATTGTATATTTGTGGGCGAAACTCAGTCGTGGATTGAAATTAAATGATTTATTATTGTCTTTTCTTGAGGGATTATTATCAAGCGTGTGGAGTAAGGAAACTTGCCTAAGGTTTCACCCTGCCGGGAATCGAACCCAGGTCCCTCGCTTGCAAAGCGGATGTTCTAACCACTGAGCTACAGGACTCCTCGAGCTACAGGACTATCACGTTGTATAGAGACATCTGATAAGCACTGCACAGGATATACTGTAAAGTGAATTGACTACATTTTGCACTATTCATGTTTCAACTCACAAACAGTTATGGATTGAGTGACCAAATTATTATAATTTTTTTTGGAAGGGATTATTACCCCCGGAAAAGCGATCCGCCAATCGACTATCAACCGGGTTCTTACTTACTGCTCGGTAAACAAACAACGTGTGGAGCAAGGAAACTTGCCAAAGGTTTTGTTCCGTCCGGGAATCAAACCTGGGTCCTCTCCTTGCAAGGCGAGTGCACTAACCACTACGCTACGAAACTCCACAGTTCTGAATATTAAGGCAAAATGCTCTTAAAAACTAAGAGCAGCTGGAATTTCTGATCTCATAATGCTGAACTTCATCAATCCAGTGGTTGGTTTTTGATCAACAGAAGTAAATCACAGCTCACCCTGCAGCTTGCCTTTTCTCTCTTGCCTCAACGCTTTTCATGTTGATGAACCTTGTGTTGCCATGGATTTGTGGGCTTGTGAGCTAAACATTTGTCAGGGTAAACAGCAGCTCGTTAAGAGGATGACTGAATAAATGAATGAGTGGACAGCATTTCTACCATCTTTTTCAAGACTGTTGTTTAATGTTGTAAACAAGTGCTGCTCGTGATTAAAAATGGAGCATTGGAGCATTAAAAGCAGCAGTGATTAAAAATGGAGCCTGCTGACATCTGCGACTATGTGACTTGTGTGCCTCAGCAATGGACCGTTGAGTTTTTGGACTGTCAAGTTGCTAAGACATGCAGGCTTAAACAGCAGAGGATTGAAGATCAGAGAGCTCGCTTGGACTTAACATTTCAGACTGGTGCAGGTTCCAATTATAAGCAGCTAATTAAATGGCCAACACGTCATCGACCACATTATTTCCCTCCTTTCAGACTATCTGATGAATGCAAGGAGCATTCAGAGCACTCGGAAATCCCATCATTCCAATGGAATATCGGACCCAAATCTTAAGCCATATCATTCACGACCTTTCCATTTTCTCAAATACTTTTTTTTAACCATTGTGCGCAAGTGGGCCAGTGCTGTCAAAATATTATCGTGGTATTTAAGCAGAAAATAGACTGATGACACACTGTATACAGAAAGTAGTATTCTGTGACTGTCGGCCTGATGTCCCGTTTGCTAATTTACGACAATAATGAGCTTTGCATTCGATATGGCATCTTATCGTGTCGTCGAGATATTTCAAAGCGCTTCACAGGATGTATTGTAAAATGGTGTGACTGTGTGACTTGTGTAAGGCGTTTTCCTGATGTCCAAATGATGAAATGTCCAAACATTTGTCCAGAGGGTATAGCTTACCAGGTTCCTGACCAGGGTACTGGGTACAAGTTTGCAAACAATAAAAAAAAATCTGCACAAAAGAATTTATTAGAAAACAAAAGGATCTGAATACATTTTTACATGTGATCTAACACACACACACACACACAAGCTACAGAAGACTGGTGTTGAACAATGTCTGTTTCTAGGTCTCCAGATTAATTCTGCTTCCCTGGACTATGATTCTTTTACCAATGTTAGTACGATTTGCCCAGTTCTAAGTCAATGTTCTATTGAATCGTTAAAAAGCTTGAAAAAATACAAACCAGCGTTTATTCCCAGTAGAGCTCCGTTAGCTGCACATTATAAACTTTACCCATGAGAACTCAACAGTCCAAAAATCCTGCTCAACTCATTCAACACAGAAGGAGGCCATTTGGCCCATCATGCCTGGGCAAGCTCTTTAAAAGAGCTATCCAACTAGTTCCATTTCCCCACTTTTTCCCCATACCTTGCAAGGTTTTCCTTTTTAAGTATACATCTAATTCCCTTTTGAAAGTTATTATTGAATCTGCTTCCACCACCCTTTCAAGCAGTGCATTCCAGATCCAGAATCTCTGGGTAATATCTCCTCATCTCCCCTTTCTTATCAGGGACTCCTTCTGATAACCAGCTGTACGTCACACAGACCCCTAGTGTTGAGGCCAGGCTACTGGACCTCATTTAATAAGCAGCTTGAGAGGAAATCAGATTGGGTGGGTTTTCTGGAAGCATGAGATGACACCAAATGGGCCAAAGGCACTTCTTCATCCCAACCGATCTTGTGACTCTACTCTGATACCATCTCCTTCCAAGGAGGAGGTGTACCACAAATTCCTTAACAAGAAATCCAGTTAGGAAATATCACCCCATTGTTTTTCTTTTGCTAAAAAGAAATACCTCATTAAAATGTAGCTCGTGCCATATTATATTTGCATCAATGCTAAACGTATATTACAAAGCTTGCTTCTAAATGTAAAAATGTAAGAACTGTAATTCCTGTGAACAAGATGCTTCTAAGAAGACAATACAAAATGGTGGGAACCTTATATTACTGAGTATAGATCAGTTACGTGCGCTACTCAGTCACACCTTGGCTGAATAGTCAAAGCAAATTGGATGGAAGACATCCTCACTGTAAAATTGAGGTCAGAGTGAGGTGATGTTGCACAGGCTCTAACACAAGGAATGACACATGTCACTGACCGTACATCTGACCCAATGTCAACAGCCTGAAGGAACGTTTGACATTTTAAACGTTTCCCAGAGGGCTGTGGTTTCCTGTAAAACCTTCCCCACAGTGTGAATTTCCGTCTTTGAGAGAGAGAAAAGGAAGATCGCAGGGGAGAAACGTTACAGGAGAGAGGAAATTAAATCTTATTTATTTGAAACGAGGAGAATTTGACGTAGTATCAAAAGCAGAGGGGTAGAAGTCAGCCTGATTTAGAACGAAACAAAGTTGACATGCTACCATTTGAATCAGACTGACAATTTGGGTTGATAAGATGGTACTTGTTCTGAAAGGATAATATTAATTATAATAATCCTTGCATTTGATACAGCACCTTATCACGTCTTTGAGACGTCTCAAAGTGCTACACTAGATATATTGTAAAGTGAATTGACTGTATATTTTGTGGGCAGCCAATTGCGCACAGCAGCATCCCACAAATAGTCGTGGACTGAGTGACCAGATTTTTTTTAAAAGGCGTTTGGTCCTTTTGATGAGATCAGATGGGCCAACGGCCTATTTCATCCAAAGTAATTTTGTGACCTTGTGATTCCTATATGTGTGCAACACCAAACCCTTTCAACAAAAGCCTGTGGCAAGCACACCTCCACTCTGTAAACAAGTCAGCACCACTGTGATGTAACAAATTTTGGGGTTCATGATAAAACCCCAAAAATAAATGTAAAAAAAAACAGCTCACATAAATAAACAGATGGGGGAAGCCTAGAGAATTATCCGTTATTTAACAGGCGGTTCCATCTGAACAGAAGAGAAGCAATCTTGCCTTTGGATCCATTGGGGATAGAAAAGATACTTATTGATGCATCCGACCTCCAAAGAACGTAAGCACAAACAACACCAGACTTGGATTGCACCGGCCCATAAAGGAAGGGTGAAATCTTTCCACATTAGCAGAGGAGGAATAATTCCGTTCCTGTTTTAAAGTCATCCCTATATTTCGAGGGCACAAAAAAGCTACAGTTGATAGTTTCAATTTGATGGGTACATTTAAGAAAAAATATCTTCAGTTCTGAACAAAGGTTGCAGGTCTAACACAGACCCACTGCACCTCATCCGAACCAGGGATAATAATAATATTCCTGGCATTTGATATACTGCCAACTCAAAGCGCTTCATAGAATATACTGTAGAAGTGGTGACTATATTTTATGGGCAAAACGTGGCAGCCAATTAACACGACAGTGTCCCACAAACAGTCATGAGTGACCAAATTATTGATGTATATATATATATTTTTTGGAGGGATTATCAGTCCCAGAAAGCGATCCGACAATCAATTAACAGCCGGGTTCCTACATACTGCTAGGTAAACAGAGGCGTGTGGAGTAAGGAAACTTGCCTAAAGTTTTGCCCTGCCCGGGAATCAAACCCGGGTCCTCTTGCTTGTGAGGCGAGCGCTCTAAGCATTATGCTATGGGACTCCAAACCCCTCCCCTCCCCCCTCTTTTATCGGTAGTCTAAAGTATAGGATTGCTCCTGGATATTGGCATCTCGGAGTCGACGATGCTTTGAGCACTCTGTGTGTTTGTGTATGGAGCGCTCCAGGCAGTGAGTGCACTGGCCTCTTCTGGTCTCCGGAGATTTCTGGTGGGTGTTGTTACACCTGTGGACCAGCACAGGCTCTTCGGCTCTGCCTTGCTCTTCAGGAGACGCTGGAGAATTTGCTTGTCCGATCGTTCCCGCTTGAAATCGTCTTCGTATATTTTGACCTGAAAAAGAAGGCCGAACACAAAATTAATAATTTCAATGGATGTCGAATCTTTCTTTCTTGGGTCCCGCAGCATAGTGGTTAGCGAGGCTGGCCTCACACGCGAGAGGACAAGGGTGTGTATCCCAGCCAGGGCCAAAATCTTAGACAGGTTTCCTTATTCCACACACCTCTGTTTAACTAGCAGTAGGTAGGAACTCGGTTGTTAGTTGATTGGCAGATCACTTTCAGGGGGTAATAATCCCTCTCCCAACAGAACGATTGGTCACTTAATCCACGACTGTTCGCGGGATACAATTAGCTGCTGCATTTCGCCCACAAAACACACAGTCGATTCACTTTACAGCTGATGTTTACACCGCAGCGTAGGAGCACAAGTGCATGGGGCTTGCTTATGGCCCAGTTGAGGTCAGTTGACTCATCAGACTGAATGAGCAACCCACAGCTTTCCAGGCCTGTAATAGTTCAGTTTCACTTTAGTCACCGGCTTTATTCAGAAGCTGCACCCAGGTGACTCCAAATTCCACCTAGTTTTAGGTGGAGAGGCCTTTTTGTCTTAAAGTACGCAGAAGATTACTCAGTATATTTGGAAGGTGTTTTTCCACAGGTGTTGAAAAGCTTCCAAATTAAGACTGAATTGAAGAATTCTTCCACAATAATGCGCAAGCTTCGATTTTAAGACAAAACAGTCTTTTGGGGGTAAAACCGGGTGGAATTTCAGGCCTGTGGTTTCTGACCGAGGAAAAAGTTTAATCCAGCCACTGAGGGGTATAACATATCAGGACCGCAGAGCTGCTATGAGAGTTCAGTGGAATTTCTCCTTTTTGTGCTGTGAAGGAGGGGGAAGCACAATCAATTGTGACGATGAGTAACAAGAAACCAAGGCCACAAGCAATTCTGCGTAGATTTCAGTAAAGGCCAGTTTTAGCAGTAAAGCTCCCCACCGCCCTGATTTCCCCTCCTTGGCTCATTGTGGACAGATGATTCTGTGGGAACTTGGTAATGTCACTGCAAATGTCACAGTCTTTGGCTGCAATCCACACAGCCCAGCTGATACGAGCACACCCACTGCACAATGAGGCAAGCAGCTGTTTCTTAAAGAAGTCCACGGTCGCGACCTCAACAACCTAATCCGGGCCTTAATTACTCTGTGGGTAAAGAAATACCACCTGGTTCCTGTCCTGAAATTGCCCTTCGCAAGCCTGAACCCGGGCCCTCTTGTGCTGCTGTCAGTGTAAGACAAAGCCCATAGTGCTTTCAGCCTTTCCTTATACACAACCCAGTTTACAGCACATTTCCCTGTTCTTCAGAAGATTTTTTAACTGTGTGAAGGGTTCTTTGTGATGTCTGCTGCACTGTAGATTGCCATTTAACAGTTACATAAACCTTCACTAACACAGTGCATAATTTACTGATGCTCAGAGGAGTGAAATGTGTTTACAACAACAGCAGCTTGCATTTATATAGTGCCCTTCAACATGGGGTAATGTCTCGGAGTGCTTAACAGTGGCTGAGCCTAACTCCGAGCTGGGGGGGAGAGGTGACTATAAGCACGGTTAAAGAAGGTCTTCAGGCATGATCTGAAAATGAGAAAGGTGGGGGCAAGGCAGAGGGATTGAGGTAGAGAGTTCCAAAGGTTCGGGGTGTTTTGGCTGAAAGCACAGCCGTAGATGATGGAGCGGAGGGGACAAGGGACAAGCAGGAGGCTGGAGTTGGCCGAGCAGTGGCGGCGAGCAGTGGAGTGGGGAGTAAGCAGGTCGGAGAGATAGGGAGGGCACAAAGATTTCTAAATCTCAGCGCTGCCACAATTATCTGACGGCCGGTTTGGCAGTTTGACTATGAACATTACTGATTAGGAAGAACTGTCTCAACCTCGAACTAAAATCTGCAGCATCTACACCCTGCACTGGCTGCTTGGTCAGCAAAATGAAGGTGGTACATTCACAAAGACTCTGAGCAGAACTCTTCAATGGCTCAGCAGAGAAAGGCAATGTGCCTCAAAGAGATGCTGGAGTTCCAGGAGGAAGGAAAAGGGAAATTAAATGTGGCTAACCTGCTCCTGGAGAAGGTTCATCTGCAATCCCAAATCTTCCGTTTTCTTCTTCAGCTTTTCGTTCTCAGCCTGTGTGCGCTGACGGTCTTTGCGTTCCGTCTTGTAATCGGCCTCGTAGAGCTTTGTCTGTGTTCGAGGCGAGAGGCAAATGAACAACAGTAAGAAACAGACAGGATCAAAATCCAAGAGACAAAGGGAGGAGATTTACATCATTTCATAACGGGACAGAGTCCAGAGGAGCACAGCACAGTAAATGTGCTGAATAATAATAATAATTCTTGCATTTGATATAGTGCCTTATCCCATCGTTGAGACGTCTCAAAGTGCTGTGTATTTTGTCGACAAAACTTGGCATCCAATTGCACACAGCAGTGTCCCACAAAACAGTCGTGGATTGAGTGTAATATACATACTATATATTTGTGGCAATAGATTACTATCATAGTTAAGAATTATAAATAATAATTTGGTCACTTAATCCACGACTGTTTGTGAGCCACTGCTGTGCGCAATTTGCTCCTGCCTTTCGCCCACAAAACATACAGTCAATTCACTTTACAGTTTATTCTGTGAATCGCTTTGAGATATCTAGAAGACATGATAAGGCGCTATATCAAATGCAAGGACTATTTTCGATGTCATAATTAGCACATCAAATGCCTATGAAATGCCAAAAAAGTTAACCCTACAAGGGTGAGGGAAACATAAAGCTGGGAATCAAAATGAGCAATGTTTGAAGTGCGTAGTGGGTAAATCAGGATAGAAAGAGAAAGAAAAGTCAACATTGCAAGAAAGGCGAGTCAAAGCGTTAACTCTCTTTCCCTTTTATTGAGACCTTCTTTCACTTTTTAATTGCTTTTCGTTGGCTTGCGAAACACACAGTCACTGCACATTGCAGTAAACCCTGTGATGCTCTTTGAGGTGACCTCCCATGTGAAAGATGCAATATTCAATGCAAAGATTATTAGTATTATCAGATCCTCTCCCTGATCTTACGTTTGTCTCACCACTGGAGCCGGTCAAACTGCAACCAGGCGGTGACCTTAAGGAAGAAACAAAGCCCACGAGAGAAAGAGAGAGAGAGAAAGAGAGAGAGAGCGAAAGAGAGAGAGACGCTTTATGCTTTTCCAGGGGGAAAAAAAATGTGGTCACTCAATCCACGACTGTTTGTGGGACTCTGTTTTGCGCAATTGGCTGCTGTATTTGGTCCATACAATATACAGTCCATTCACTTTACAGTTTATTTTGTGATGTGCTTTGCAATGTCTCGAAGACGTGATAAGGTACTGTATCAAATGCAAGGATTATTATTGTTATTTACCTGACATCTGAGGGCAGCCACTTGGTCTCGCAGATCCTTAAACTCTTGCGGGGAGATTTTGTTGCTTGCTGTGGGGTGCGCTGCCTCAGGTTTCGATCGCTTGGACTGACTGTGTTCTCTTGTCTTCTCCCCTATTCCCAGAGCATTTGCTGATCGAGTTGTCTCCTCTTCATAATCTGTCCTCGGGTGGTGATAGACGATGGCTGAATCTTCGCTGCTCTGGCCAAGCCTCCATGGCTCCTTAACGCAACATTAGAGAGGAATAAAGGATTTCTTTTGTTTTTGCATCAATGCTATTGGTGGTCAGGACTTCAGCCTCTCTCCTCCAACCCTTTGGAACTCCATCCCCAAATCCCTTCATCTCGCCCTCTCCATCCATTGCCTCCTTCAAGATCTGTCTCAAGACCCTCCTCTCTGGTAACGACTTTGATCACGCTCCTACCCCCACCCTCTCTGCCCTCTACCCCTCCTGATCCCAACCCCCAGATCGGGTGCAAACCCCTGGCTGGCCAGCGCCTTGTGACGTCCTCCCGACGTGAAAGGCGCCGTATAAATGTTATTTCTTGTTGCATTAGAATTGCTGGTTGGTTGCAGAAACGATGGAAGTAAGTCCTCTTGGCTCAGTTACTGATGCTCTTAAGATTAGTTTCATTACACTGGGCGGCACTCTTATCTCTGGGTTGGAAAGTTGTGGGTTCAGAGCCCCACATTAGGGTTTCAAGATCCTCACTCTCCTCTTCAAATCCCTTCATGCCCTGGCACCTCCCTACCTCTCCGACCTGCTTACTCCCCGACCCACTGCCCTCCGCTCAACTACCTCTGGCCTCCTGCTTGTCCCTCGTGCCCTCTGTTTCACCATTGGTGGTAATGGTCCACCTCGCCCCATTCTTTTCTCATTTTCGAAGACCTTCTTCTTCGACTATGCCTACAGTGACCTCCCCCCACTTCCCCCCGGCTTGGCATCGTGCTCTGCTACTGTCAATTGAGTATGAGGTGTGGGCACATGGATTGTGCGGGTGTGACATTACCTCCAGCGGCCCCCGGACCCTCTCTCTCATGCTGTGTAATTCATTCTCCAGTTCCCGGATGTAGCCCTGAAGCTGCTGGTTCTTCTTCATCTCTTGGATTAGTGACTGTTCGTAATACTCCCTTTTGCGCTAAAGAAAAGCATTGCGATTAAATGAGGGGACATGCTCCCAATAAAGAATCGCATCTCTAATTTAATAATAATAATCCTTGCATTTGATCTAACGCCTTATCATGTCTTCTAGATGGCTCAAAACACTTCACAGAATATACTGTAAAGTGAATGGACTGTATGTTTTGTGGCTGAAACGTGGCAGCCAATTGCGCACAGCAGTGTCCCACAAACAGTCGTGGATTGAGTGACCAAATTATCATTANTTTTTTAAAGGAATTATTACCCCTGGAAAAGCGATCTGCCAATATAATAACAACCAGGTTCCTACTTAGTACTAGAGTAAATAGAAGCTGGAGTAAGGAAATTAAGTGGAGTGGACTTGCCCAACGTTTTGCCCTGCCAGGAATCGCACCCAAGTTGCTCGTGAGGCGAGTGCTCCAGTCGCCTTGTTCTAATACCATGGACCCACTTAAATGAATACGTTTCCATCTATAGCTAGCAACTCTCGTTCACAGTCACACAACAAGGATACCGAGTACCATAATATTGGCAACCTAATGGCAAGAATAACTGTTCTAAAGGGTGTCTAAAGGGAGAATATTCTGAAATTCTTAGTTTACATTGTATTTGCCTATCAAAAAAAGTCACCGCACAGCATTGTACACTAAATCCTGTGAAGCTCTTCGAAACATCCTCCCAACATGAAAGGTGCTAATTCAAATGCAATGGTTGTTAGTTTTACTTTCAATCCCTACAGGGAGGCTTTGAGCTCACACTGTAGACCAGGGCATCTCCAACCGGATGATTGCCGCTAGGTAGCGTTTCGCACGTGCTCAATAAAACATGAAGAAGGTAGCAATATTTGCTTAGTGCATCTGGCTTGGTTTTCAATTGGGCTTAATATTTGCGCTGTTCTATCACTCCTCTTATATTTTTGATCATGTTCGACACAGCCACCTTGTGGTGATCAACCGGCTGGAGACCCTTGATCTAGACTGACTCACCAACACAGCAATACCAGCCTCTACCATCACACCGGGCAGCCCATTCAACATGCTGACAACCCACTCTGTAAATCCAAATTCCTCCTAATTTTCCCTTTTGATCCATGTCCTCGCTGAACAGAGAGTTTTAATATTCTCAATCAATCAATCAATCAATCAATCAATCAATCAACCAATCAACCAACCAATCAATCATCATCCATTGACAAGGAGGCCATTCGTGGCAATGATATGACCTGCCCATTACTTTGAATTGGTAGCACTACACGCACCTCTTCATTGTCCAGTTTTTTGGACAGGGTCTTGGCGTGCTTGTTGCTATCTGAGACTTCCTCCTGCAGCACTGACAGCCTTTGCTGCATTCCTATTGTCATCAATCGGTGGACATGATCCCATTCCTGGTTGAGTTTCACCAGCTGAAAGAGATGAAGGGAGATGGAGTGTATTCATGAGAGACGACTCGTCACATCTACTAATATTCACTGACAGTCTACAATTCCAGTCTAGCACAGAATCCGCTACAGAGAGAATTTCCTTGCAAAGAGTTAGGGCATTAGCAGTAATTATACCACAATCATTCATGCTCTCCTGTGCTGTCCGCATTTCCAGCTACTGGTGCCGGTTACAAGAACAACAACAACAACTTGTATTTATATAGTGCGCAGGGTAGAGTTCCAGAATGACAGTGGCGGAGCATGACACCGAGCCGGGGGGAGGGGGAGGTGACAGTAGACATGGTCGAAGAGGAACGTCTTCAGGCGCGACCTGAAGATTGGGAAGGCGGATGTAGGGCGGAGGGATAGAGGAAGAGAGTTCCAGAAATTCGAGGCTCCAAGAAGTTTTTTTTTAGTTACCCTCCAGAACGTCATGCAAATCCTGTTATGTTATATTAATACATCCAATTCCCTGTAATACCAACGTTCCCCATATAATTAATTATATATAATGAACAATAATAATAATCTGATAAAGTACCTTGCACATTGGGAGGATGTTTCAATCCAGATCACCGGATTTCCTGCACAGTGGAGTGACTGTGCACGTCAGCCAATTTGCGCATAACAATGTCCCATATAATAAGACAAGCAAAGCGATAAATCTGGGAGATATTTAAAGACTATTGTAATCTAGGTGTTCAGGGACAAGTGCAAATTATTTAAGGAAATAGTTTTGCTGGAATTGAATCTCCATTAAGATATTTTGAGGGGCTTTTTCACACTAACAATAATTCTAAAATTCTCTCTCTGTCCATGAGCCCTGGGGCAGAGCAACAAATACCCTGAATGATCCAAATTAAGACCAAACTCCGGTATTTGTGAACTAACCTACATTAGCTGAAGGAGAGTCATTTCGGGGAGGAATTTACTTGTATTTCTGGAATAACAAGGTCTTGCGAGTGTTTCAGAGATCTGTACATTTTACCCTCGATGAATCTTTGACACTGATCCAATGCAAAGTAATTACTGAACAAAGTACAATTGGCAGCTGAGAGGATACATAGTGAAAGTGGCCCACATGTCATTTGGACTGTACACAAACTGTGCGCAAATTCGCTGCTATCTATCTGTTACCTTGTTCTAATAGTGTGGATCCGCTTAAATTGGTATGTTTTCGTTCCCAACACACAACACAGCAAGGAGTCAAGTAAACAACAACAACAACAAGATTACATTTGTATAGCACCTTTCACATTGGGAGGATGTCCCAAGGCGCTGGACAGAGTACAGCATTTCAGACCTGAGCTGGCGTCAGGCGGGGGAGAAGGGGGGGGAGGGGAAGGGGGTTGGCCGATGGCATGGTCGAAGAGGAGGGTCTTGAGGCGGGACTTGAAGGAGGCTGAGGGGGCAAGGAAGAGCCTCCCCCCTACACCCCAAACCCTCCCACCACCCCCCCCCGTACCTTCCATCCTACAGAGAGAGAGTGAGAGAGAGACCAAGAGAGAGAGACTGAGAGAGAGAATTGGGGCAGTCAGGGGATGGAGTGAGAGTGAGAGGGAGATGAGTGGAGAGATTTAAGAGTTAATGTCTGTGTTTATAAGCTTGTGTCCTGCAGGGGTGGGGGGGGGGGGAGGGTTTGCTGTCTCACGTACCATTCAAATTGGGCGTGAGAGAGAGAGAGAGAGAGCGAACGAGAGAGAGAGAGAAAGACGGACACAATAGGATTCATTCTCACACAAGAGAACATAAATATACATATAACACTATATATATAAGAAACAATATTTAGAAATGGATAAGTTTTGACAAAATGCCTGGAAACACACCAATGGGCAGTCAGAAGCATCTAAGGGCAAGAAGTCAAACTAAAAACGTAACTGGGGCATTTACCTTCACTGCGCACTTGACTGATTTTGGTTTGCAGTGAAAGGGGGTATGTGCTGACTGTAACTTAGAGACTGTGTCGTTCTTTCCTTGAGAGGGAAACTCCACGGGGGTGTTGCCGGACAGCACGTTTTTTTCTTTTGCTTATGCAAATTACCAAGTGCGGGGACATCACTCAGGGAAATGTTAATAATAATCTTTGTATTTCATATAGCGCCTTATCACGTCTTTGAGACATCTGAAAGCGCTTCACAGAATATACTGTAAAGTGAATTGACTGTATATTTTGTGGGCAAAACGCAGTAGCCAATTGCGCACAGTAGTGTCCCACAAACAGTCGTGGATTGACTGACCAATTTTTTTTTGAAGGACTTATTACCTCCGGAAAAGCAATCCGCCAATAGGCAAACAGAGGTGTGTGGAGTAAGGAAACTTGACGAACATTTTGCCCTGCCGGGAATCGATCCCGGGTCGCTCGCTTGTGAGACGAGTTCTCCTCACCATTGAGCTACAGGTCTCCACGATGGGCGAAATCAACATACCTCTTTGTTCACGCGTCGGAGGTCCGTGTTCCTGTTCAGGAGCTGGACCTTCTCCTCATCTGCCGTGGTGACGCTCATGCTATCTGTGATGACAGTGTTCTCCTCCTCTTCAAACCCGTTCCCATTTTGGATCATCTGAAACAGCTCGTTTCGTGTTCCTGAGATGATGCTTCTGAAATGGGAGGTTGCTTATTAGGTGACTGCTTCTCATTCCTTGAGCTCAGGGCTTGATAACCCAAATCGACCCAAACTCCAACATGGACAAAGTAATAATCACATCATTATAATCCTTGCAGTTGATTCAACCATGCCATCGCGACGACTCACAGAATATACTGTAAAGTGAATTGAGCAATACCACTCCCCTCCCCCTTCCACAACACAGTGAGTTATTTTCCACTTACTTCATCAATCATCGATTTTCCTGTGGCTTTTCTGAGTGAGATAACCATTTTAGTATGAATTAGTACCACTCAAAAGGCAGTGTCGTGCTTTAAAGCCACATCCTCTACGTGCAGGTCTTAAACTGATGAGAATCATTACTCTGATTAAAGTGCTTTAAACAAGCAAAGGACATGGGTACACCGGTACAGGATAGACAAAGCTTTGGTCTGGTATTTAATTACACAAACATTTGAATCTTAGTAATCTGTGAAAACAGGTCAACTGACAGTGAGTGAGCAAAATCTGAGTTTGTGAGAGTCTATGAGAGAGTACACTATGGGACTCCACAATACTCTACAGGACTCCACTTTTAACAATACTGTGCTCTTCTCTCTCAGTACTCCATTGTACCATAATTTGTTAACCAAAGGAAGAAGCGAGATGGATTCAGGTTGCTGTTGTCCCGGGTTAATTCATGACAGAAAGGATATTCCCTGCAAGAGGAATGTGCCCTAACTCCAGCAATGGAGGCTGCTCTAACTATACAGATGATATTTATTTTCGGGTGGAATGTCTCACCAGATAATAATAATCCTTGCATTTGAGAAAGCACCTCATCACATCACTGAGATGTCTCAAAGCGCTTCGCAGAATATACAGTGAAATGAACTGACTGTATATTTTGTGGGCAAAGTGTGCCAGCGAATTCTGCATACTAGTGTTCCACAAACAGTCATGGATTGAGTGACAAAATTGTTATTATGTTTAAAGGATTATTACCCCCAGAAAGCGATCCACCAATCGACTAACAACTGGGTTCCTACTTACTGCTGGGTAAACAGAGGCGTGTGGAGTAAGGAAACTTGCCGAAGGTTTCGTCCCGCCCAGGAATCAAGCTCAGGTTATCTCGCTATGAGAGAGTACACTATGGGACTCCACAATACTCTACAGGACTCCACTTCTAACAATACTGTGCTCTCCTCTCTCAGTACTCCATTGTACCATAATACCATATATTATATTATTAATATTATATATATTATACATATAATACATAATACCGCCTCAAGACCCTCCTCTTCGACCACTCCATCAACCACCCTCCTTCCCCTCCCTTCTCTCCCCCTGACCCCAGCTCATGTCTGAAATGCTGTACTCTGTTCAGCGCCTTGGGACGTCCTCCCGATGTGAAAGACGCTATATAATATATATGCTGTTGCTGTTGCATTGGCGTATCAATCAGCCTTCAAGTTGAGGTCAGGTTTTATCCTGGACATAAACCTATAACCTACTCACACAACTGGACTTCGTCAAAGAGCAGGAAGCAATCTGTCATAAGGAGAAGTTTTTATAAACAACTGGCTACTTTAAAGTTTTATAGTACTCATAGTAAGTTATAGAGCACTTTAATACCTCTCCAGAATGCTGTGTGCTGGCCATTGAATTATATTTAACATGACAGATTTTTGATTCTTTTTCATACGTGTGAATTAAGTGAAGAATATCACATTACTGCAGTTTTAGCAGAACAATAATTCTGAGTAGAGTACAGGGAAATGCCAAACCAAGTTCATGGCAATAAAATGAATCATGCTTCACAGTTTAAGTCAGGAGGTAGCTGGAGTACAATCAGGGCAATTTAGGCAACTCTACAGTTTATAGGACACTATAAACCAGGAAAATATTTTTTAATCATCTGAAATGTCAGTTTGGATTTCTGCCTGTAATCCTCTCTCACCCAACCAATGCTTTTATAATCTATGAGACCGAAAGACTGAAATTCCACCTACTCTTCGCCTTCAACCCCATTTTGTTTTAAAATTTAAGATTGTGCAGATTTGAGGAACATTCTCAAATTTGTTTTGAATGCGCCTGCACATTAACAATAATAACTCTTGCATTTGATACAGTGTTTTATAATAATAATAATAATCCTTCCCTTTGATATAGCACTTTTCGCATCTTCTAGATGTCTCAAATGCGGCAACCAATTGCACACAGCAGTGTCCCACAAACAGTCGTAGATTGAAATGATCAATTTATTATTGTTTTTTTTTGAGGGATTACTATCAAGCGTGTGGAGTAAGGAAACTTGCCTAAGGTTTCACCCTGCCGGGAATCGAACCCAGGTCTCTCGCTTGCATAGCGAATGCTCTAACCATTGAGCAACAGGACTCCACTTTATCACGTTGCTGAGACGTCTCAAAGCATTTCACAGGATATACTGTAAAGTGTAGTGACTGTATATTTTGTGGGCGAAACATAGTAGCCAATTGCGCACAGCAGTGTCTTAATAAAGTCGTGGATTAAGTAATCACATTTTTTTTAAGTCTAAATTTAAGATTTTAAGAGCAAAAATTCAAGGAAAAACTGACTGATTGCCTGTTGGACATCAAGTCCTGGGTGAGCTCTAACTTTCCTCAGTTGAATGTCGACAAGACAGAAGCTCTCCTGGTTGGCTCCCATAAGTGTCTTCTTACTACTGGCAATGGCAACATCAAATCACTTGAATGCACATTATCACTCGCAGAGCCTGTGAGGAACTTCAGTGTCCTGTTAGACGTTCACCTGTGGATTGAGCAGTGGCAGGGTTAAACCAAGGAGGGATTTAAAGGTGAGAATGAGGATCTTGAATTCAACCCCACTGGCAGATGTGGAAGCAGTGGAGCCAGGCAAGGATATGAGTGACACACTGTTGGAGATTTGTGCACTATAATAATAATAAAAATAATAATAATAATAATCCTTGCATTTGTTATAGTGCCTTATCACATCTTCGAGACATCTCAAAGTGCTTCACAGAATATATTGTGAAGTGAATTGGGTGTATATTTTGTGGGCAAACTATATAGACAGTGGGTTCATCATTTTTCATAGGGTTCAGCATTCCGCCCCCACTCTCTGGAACTCTTCCCTCCGTCTCAGCCCTTCCCTCCCCAACCTTAAAGCTCCACATTCCTCAGCTGCCATACCCCCCAGCTTGGGCTCCCTGTGGGCTCCGACAAGCCCTTGGGGACATCATCTTGACGTGAAGGATGTTATATGAAGGTAAAATTGCTGTTCTAGCAAAAGGCCCCACACATTTGTCACCACTAACTGCACTCACTCTGCATCATTTCACATTATCGTGTCACCTATGACAATGAATCAAACTCTGTGTGGCTTTTTGTGATAGATTCGGTTTTGCTATGTTCGAGGGAAATCTGTACAATGCACCAAGGTCAACTCGTTGGAAACAACTCAGATCAGCCCTGACCTGAGGTGACACTTTGGGGAGTAGCTCCGGAATAACCCTGAGCCTGTGAGTAATACAAAAGTATTTATCGCCATTGTTGTATAGCGACTCAAAAAATCTCTGATTAAGTGGCAACGCCTGCTTAAAGCAAGTATGGTGAAGCTTGAGAGGCTCAGGCTGCTTTGCTTATTTAATTCTTCCTGGTGATGGGTAAAAACAGACTGAAGCACCTTCACAGACACAAACCTTACAACTCTGATAATAATTGTTAGTGCCGACTGACCCTCCAAGACTCGAATCGTCCCAATCCAATTGGATCATAGCAGCAAATGGCCCAGATATCTATGTAGACTCCTGATAACTCTACCTTGGCTTAGTTTTTAACTACTAAGTAACTGCTGTGCGCAATTGGCTGCCGCGTTTCGTCCACAAAATATACAGTCAATTCACTTTACCGTGTATTCTGTGAAGAGCTTTGGGAACACCTCGAAGACGTGAAAAGGCGCTACATCAAATGCAAGGATTATTAATATTATTATTGAATCATCATGCTGACAATATCTCGGCCACATTTATTTATGTATTTATACATATGGCTAACTCACCATTCTGGATAACTCGTCATTGAAACCTTTCCCTTGGAATTTATTGTATTAAATTCAGCCTTAACATCAGCAAAAGCACAAATAAGCTTGAATATTTCTTACAAGGAACTACAGAATGAAAAAAAGGCTGTTTGTTCCATCAAGCCCATTCCCTTCCCAGTCCACCCAAAGCTGACCCTATCCGAGACTTCACTCCCCCTACATTTCATCTCCTGCAGGAATGTTCCACACAGATTTCCAACAATAATCAAACAAGAACACTGTAATTTTCCTCCATCCCCACAACTCCCCTGTTGAAACTTGCCCCCTCTCCCTCCCCCCCAACCTCCACGCACACAAACACACACTGCTGAGTGCAAATTGACTGCCATATTCGCCTACAAACTACACAGTACAGTCGGTACAGTTTGCAGCAAATCCGGTGAAGTGCTTTGAGACTTCTCGACGACGTGATAAGATGCTGTATCAAATGTAATTATTTTTATAATCCCTTTCCCTCAAGTCTGCCGCTATCCCAACAAATAATCGACTTGGGCTGGAATGAGGATGAGGGATCAGGAATGACCTGCTTGAAAGATGGTTCCAAAAGTTGGAATAATTGGCTTTCTTTGCGAATAAGGATATGTAATTGCAGTTTAAATAAAAACAGCAACCTTTCAAATTGTAAATCATGTAAATTAAACTCAGTCAGAGGGCTCACCACCCTCTCTCTCACTCTCTCCAATTCCTTACCCAGTATATACAAAACCATCTTCAGATGTCTCTGTGTTCTTGCTCCTATCTTCTTGCTGAAGCTTAAATGCTGCTCCCAAGGTTGCCTGTAACTCGGCCAATTGAGTGGAGTGAGACGCCAGAACACCCTTGGCTTCCATTCTTGCAGTCGCACAGTGTTAAAGTTCCAGCGAGCCCCGAATTCAGTGCATGCACCACTTCCCTGTCGCTGTATTTCTTTTCGACTTACTTACTAAAAAAGAGGAAATCTGATTTAGTTTCAGTTGAGGTTAGTCACTGTCAGGTGCAATGACAAGGCAAGCCTGACAGCTGACAGACTCAGTCATTATTATCTGTTCAAATGTAACAATAAATTTTTCACCAGCAAAATATACAGTCAATTTGTTTCACCCACACAATACTCAGTCAATTCACTTTACAGTATATTCCGTGAAGCGCTTTGAGACGTTTCAACCAAATGATAAGGCGCTGGATCAGATCCAAGTACTATTATGTTATTATAAATAAGGGGAGGTAGAACATAATTGTTGAAAAAAAACTTTTCTTTTAAAAAAAGAATAAATAAAATCGTACCTTAACATTAATAATGATCAATTTGTTGTTGCTTCTTAAGATTAATAATCCCTTCGCAGCGCTTCCCCCGATGTGTTCGTTTCAGATCTCTTTCAGAAATGCTCACTTGGGCTTTAAATGCAGCTTAAAAGTTTTGTGTTCCTCATCACGTGAATGAAGAACACAGAAACTTTGTCTACAGTGTGTAAGAGTGAGACATTGCGGAAGCCACTGTCGTGGTTTCAGTTTTAAAAAATGCCCCGGGACTTTCCACAGTGTTCAAGAAAGCAGAAGAGAGAGAGAAGGAGGAGAGAGAGAGCGCGCGAGAGAGAGAGGGGTGGGGGTGGGAGGCGTTCACTGTTTAGTGGCTGCATTGCTATGCAACTGACCTGTGATTGTATAAACAGTATGCGCGTGTGCGTATGTGTGTGCTTCTGTGTTTAACTGGATTCATAGCTTCATCACAGCATTGCTCTAGTGCTAAATGATCTATTTATGATCTTTACAAGCTCTCCGCCTCAAGCCCTTTGCACACAGACTGATTTCAGACGCATTTCATGGCAACATTGTCAGTTCGGACAGGATTTGGCAATAGGGACGGTGATTACCCACACTCTTCCCCCACCCCCACCCCTCCTCAAACCCACCCTCACCTCTCCTCAACCCCACCCCCAACCCTCCTCACTCCTCCCCCTCTAAAAGAAAACGTAGTAGTTTCCAGCCCTTGTGACCATTGTTTCAGAGGTAGCTTTCAGATCATGTACTTTCCCCCACTTAACCCCCCACATCCCCACTCTGACACTCTGACAGTCGCTTGAATGCTCTTCTCGATGAAAGTGGCACTGTAGTGAAATTAACCTTTTGCGGATTCCTGCAAAACGGTTTTCACCGTGATTGCTGGTTACACGGTGGAGGTGGAGAATCAAGTGTATTAATCACAAGACTGGAAAGTCTACAGACTACAGACTTCTACAGAATGTTGTGGGTTCAAGCCCTACATCAACAAAAGCATTTTTTTAAAAAAATTTGGTCACTCACTCCAAGCAAGGCTGTTTGTGGGACGCTGCTGTGCGCAATGTTTGTGCTTCGTTGTCGCATTTCGCCCCCAAAATACACAGTCAATTCACTTCACAGTGTATGCTACGTGACGTGATAAGGCGCTATGTCAAATGCAAGGATTACTATGATTATTATTATTGAGCTCACAGCCAAAGCTGACACTCAGTACAGGACTGGCAGAACAATGCATTGTCAGAGGTGGAATCTATAAAAGGAGATCACAAGACCACACAAGATTGGTCTGGATGAAGAAGGCCCTTCGGCCCATCCAATCTCATCCCTCCAGATCATCCACCCTGCCAATCCCCCCATACCTCACCACAGCATCAAGCTGTTTCTTAAGTCCCGTGTCCTGGCCTTTACCACCTTTCCTGGCAATGTGTTCCAGTTGCTGATTACTCTCTGCGTAAAGAAAAACTTTCCTGGTGTCTGTCCTTAAATTGCCCTTTACAACTCTAAACCTACATCCTCTTGTTTTACTGTTGTGATGCACCCTAAAGTATTGATCTGGCTGTACCTTTTCTATTCCATTTAAAATTTGATACACCTCTAGGTGGTCCCCTCTAAGTCATCTTCTCTCCCTCACTTGCCTGGCTGTTGCTCACAGCTCAGTCCTCTGGGGATCAACACTGGGGATCGACCTCATTTCTCTCCTCTGCACTGCTTCTAAGGCTTGGGCAGCCCCTTATGCCACGGTGACGAAAGCTGTTGGCCACATTCAAGATGTGGTACTGACTAGTACAGAGTGTACAGCCTGAGTATGACATCTGAGGAAATCTAAATTTAGCAATGTAGCCCAGTATCCTGTTTGCCCTGTTTGTTGCTGTCTCACAGGATTTTGACATAGTGAATGTCAAGTCAGCTAACATCAGCCTAGATCTCTTTCAGCTTCCCCCTTGGCTTCCCCCTTGGCAAATTCAATCCCATTCATGGAGAATTTATCGGTATTAAACTTAAGTTGCCAGTTATCAGCACATGTCCATTCCCTATCAAGCTCTCTATGTAGGATCTTTGCTGCCTCCTCTGATTCCATAGTTCCCCCGATCCGAACTTGGTGACATCTGCAAATGTAACTATTGTACACTGAGTCTGCAAATCTAGGTTAGTAATATATGCAAGGTACAAGAGGGGTCCCACTACAGATCTCTGAGGCACCCTGCTTAATACCTCCACCCATTTTGACCTAGTTCCCCTAACAAAGATCCTCTGTTGAAACACTTGCACGCTGGTTGTTAACCCAACCTGCAAATTAGAACCCCAAAATACCATAGTCAATCGTCCAGGAGTTCAATAAATCTCAGCACTTTCACATGTAGCAGAATCGTAATAGAAATTATGCCATTTATTGGGTCCAAGATAGTAACTGAAGTTTAATACTGATAAATATTGGTAAGTTTCATGGTAGCAATTATCCAGTTTGGAGAATAGTTATATTCCATTATGGTTACATAATTTTTTCCCTCTCTTTTCCCCCTTTCTTCTCGCTTCTCTTGAAGCCACTTGATTCCCGTTGTCTTTTAACTGACGTTCGCTCACTCTCAGGTGCAGGGTAATGTCTCAGAGTGCTTGACAGGGACAAGGTTGGATGCTGAGCAAGCGAGAAAGCTCAGAGGGGGGAGGGAGAGTGAGAGGGAGGGGAAGGTGGTCACCGAGGTAGGATTTGAGGATTTGAAAAGTTCACTGTGTTTGGATTTGAGGCAGGCGTTAAAGACAGAAAGAAAGGGAACACGTCGAAGGGCGTAGAAGGAGGGAGTTCCTGAGGTTAGGAGCAAAGGACTGGTGCGGAGAGGGAGAAAGACATGCGGCAAGCAGTTAGCTGAGCAGAGGGGTGAAATGGTGACAACTTTAAGCAAAGGGTTTCTGGATTGTGATCAAGAGTCAGAGGGGATATTTAGTATTATTATTCTCATTGGATCGATTAGAATTTTACAGCACAGAAGGAGGCCATTCAGCCCACCATATCTATGCCAACTCTCTAAAGAAACTATTCATAAAATTCCCCTTTCCTGCTATTCACCTACAAACATACAGTCACTACACTTTACAGTGTGGCCTGTAACATGCTTTGAGACGTCCTTCCGACATGAAAGACTGTATATCAAATGCAAGGATTATTATTATTATGATGTTTGCAGTAAACTCCTGATAACTCGATCCTGGCTTAACTTGTCTGTACCATTTAAGACATCACTCTGTCAGTATCCCGGCTGCATTTATTTATGTATTTATACATAATCTAACTCACTACTCCTGATAACTCGTCACTGAGCCCTTTTGCCAGTGACGAGTTAACAGGAGGTTACAGTCTTATTATTTTCCCCCACACCCTTTTGTATTTTTACTTTACTTTTTATATTTTACATTCCAACTGTAAAAGCTATTATAGATTTCGATTCAAATAAAGTATATTTCCTCCCCCACTGGATCATCTGTCACTTAACAGAATCATGTTTCAGTTGTGTATTTTCGTTATACTTAACTCGTAATATTATGTTAGACACAAGACTTTCATGATGACAACTGTCAAGTATCTTCCATCACCACACCTTGAGAAATCATTAATTTCCTCTGTGTGTGACAGTTACACTTCAAAGCCTTTTCTGTCGGGAGGCTATCTCAAAGCGCTTCAAGGGATTTACTGTAAAGTGTAATAATGACGGTATGTTTTGTGGGTGATTGCTTAGCCTAAATTGCCTCTGTTCTCAGTGTATATTCCCTTCTCCTCCCCCCGCTCATGTCTAACCCTGTCATCTTGAAACGCTCTGAGACATTTTCATACGTGAAGGGCAACATTTGTTGTTGTACAGCATAATTTTGCCTTGAAGAAAAGATTTCAGCATCTCTACGTTTTCAATGTGTATTTTATGGAGGTGTTTGCCAAGTACAGATGGCAATTCAGTCCTTCCAATAAAATCATGCAAGCTGTCCATCAGCTCATGGCGAACGTAACGGGGCAAAATGAGAAATAAGCTGCATTTATACCCCCTGGAGCCAAGTCAGAGAACATTAAATCAAGTGGGGGTTGTTTGAAAAAAATATTCAAGAGCTGGTCACATTTCCCTGAATGTTTGTAGTTCATCCAATGGATACTATGCCCCTAATCTCTGAAACTCTCTGACTTTCTATGGAACTCTCTCCCTTTACCCCTCTGTCTCGCTCCCCCCACTCCCTCTCTGTCTTCAAATCTACCCCTTTAAGCTTTGGTCCCTTCTCTTTAGGCCGGCAACCGATTCTGTCTTAGTAAAACGCCCCAGGATGCAAGTTGTTGATAAAAGCAAGTTGTTGTTGTTGCTGCTGCAACCCGACCCCCAGCTTGGGTTCAAATCCCTGACTGTCCAGCCCCTTGAGATGTCCTCCCAGTGGGAAAAGCCCTATACAAATGTAAATTGTTGTTGCTTTCCTATTCAACATTGTGAGAGCTTTGGCACTAGCATTGTGAATCAGGGTTCCTGCCCTGAACTGCTTTACTAGTCGAAGCATCAAAGGAATGAGAGACTCTCCATTATCAGCCACAATGTAGTATTGTTTTTGCACACATGAACCTTGCTTGCAATTGTTCCATATTACACAGAAAGTGGGGGTGGTGATTTTAACACTTACGACAAGAGAATAAATATAACA